TGCTCCTCCAAGGCGACCACCTCGACGGGCGCCTCCTCCTCGTCGCCCTCCTCGCCGGCGCAGGTTCCTCGTGCCTGCGGCAACCCCAGCCGCCGCTCCCCTCTCCCTGACTTCGGCAGGCAGGGCCACGCGGGTCTTCCCAGGTGGCGGGACCTGTTGCTGCCGCTGCCATCCGTCCGCCACCTGCCGCTGCCGTCGCCCGCCACCTACTGCTGCCGCTGCAGCCCGCCCGATCGAGTCCGCGCGGACCTGTTGCTGCTGTTGGCGACTGCATCTGCTGCTGATGTCGGCGACTGCATTGGCTGCAGGTACTTCCTGAAAAATGGACTGATTGTGGCTGATTGATCTCAACCTGTGTCAACTGCAGTTTCAGTTACAGTGTGAATTGCATTATCAGCACACTTATGTAAGCATTGTACTTTGTGAAATCTTTGCTGTTCTTTGTGAAATCTTTGCTGTTCCATCAGAGTACTGTACCTGAAAATTAGTGAAGTTGATTTACACCAAGAGTACTCCAAAATTGTACTGTAAGGAGTTGCTCCTTGTGCTGCTGCTGCTCCTCCTGTTCCACCATCAATGGAGTTAAATGGATGTAAAATTGACAGTTCTTGATTAAAAAAATGTATCAAGGGGCCACAAAAATTGTAAACTTCTCTGAAACATGAAAATTTTGGACTGATATGAATTTGGCCATGTTTGAGGTGTTTTGACAACTGAATTTGGCCATGTTTTGACACTGAATTTAAATGATGTAATATGCATATTACAAGAAGTTTCATAAAACAAATAAAAGTGCTTGTGAGGACAAGCTGTGTTCAATCAACTTGATGTTCAGAACCTGTCATTTTCTATGTGCTTGCGAGGACAAGCTGTGTTGATCAGTGCTGGGATGCTAACACCACAAGAAAGCATGCATGCCATGTTCAGGCTTCTTTTTCTTAGTGCATATAGAAGTGGCAACTAATCACCACAAAATGGAGTGCATAGGTTCAGACTTGAAGCATGCATTTTCCATACATAGGTTCAGACTTGAAGCACGAAAATGTACTCCTGTAGGTTAGCAGGAAGAGCTTACAGATGTTCCATATGGCAAGGGTGACTTGACGCCATTACGAAAACCTCGCCGTACATCCACTCGGCGCCGCACAGCCTCCCTGAGAGCAGTGAGTGAGCGAGTGGCATCAGTTAGTGAGCTCAAAACCAGTTCAGTCAGTAGCAGTAGCAGGATGGAGCAGTAGAGTGAGTGTGACATCACTTGATGCACTAATTCAGTCAAAAGCAGAGTGAGAGAGGCAAATTCCGTAACCTGCAATGTCCTAGCCCAATCTATATAAAAAAGTGACATCAATTTGTGCAAATCCTAGCAAAATCTATATAAAAAAATTTGACAGCTTCAGAACATCCTAGCACAATCTTTTCATTATCTCTGAATTTCTAAATAGAGTCTACATACTGCAAAAATTTGAGAAAACTACTGAATTATTGTTGTTTAGTCATTGTTTCTACTGTAGTTTTCAGTATTTTGTACAAACTGAAAACTGATTGTGTTAGACTAGGAGTACTTGATTGTGTTAGACTAGGAGTACTTGCTTAATTCATCATGGTTTTCTTTTCACACTAGGAGTATGTGCTCAAATGAACAAGGAGTACTTTTAATTAATTTCAATTAGCTAGAATTATTTGAATTAGCTAGATTTATTTGAATTAATTTGGGATTATTTGAATTAGCTAGATTTATTTGAATGAATTTGGAATTATTTGAAAGCCTAAAAATCAAGCAGAGAGCAGAGCAGTGCAACCTCCTCTGAATGAAAATATCATGTCACTGGAAAGCCCTAAAAAGCAAGCAGGGAGCAGAGCAGTACAAGAGTTGATTGATGTTTCTTCTGTTGAAGTTACCATGTTTCTGTAAGGAATGGCCATCATGTTCCTCTAGTTACCAAGATGAACAAGGAGACTTTTAATCTCTCAGAAGTCATTGAAGCATCTTTTAATAATTTGTAAGGAACAGACTTTTTGAAGGGAAGAAGATTGGTTTCATATAAAAGGTTTTCCTGAATAGACTTTTAAGCTCAGGCAGTAGCTCTAGGTAACACTATAATACATAATTTGGCAGGCCTCAAGTAAGAACTGTAGAACTATTTTGTCACCAAACTTAAATAAAATTTGGCTCCATATAAAATTTAAATAAAAGAGCACTTTGGCTCCATATGATAGGAGTATGTAGCTCCATATGATAGGAGTATGTAGTCCAAATAATCATCTTCTTAGTTGAAAGCCTTTAATTCACGTAGTCCTAAAATTTCTACACACAGATTGGACAAGCAATATTCCTAAAATTTCTGCAATTACAGTATATTCGATCAATGCAAATTAAGCACTCATGAAACAAGTCTATTTGGTCAATGCAACTATGTGGTGCTAGTGCCTTTTGTCTTTGTGGTTGGGCACAGTTTGGCACAATCTGGTCATCTGACCAAAATAAAAGGTGGGCAGATGTCTTGAGATGCTGTACCGTATTCTGAATTTCTTTGAATTTCTTGAGATGCTGCAGATGGTACATGCTCTTTTAATTACACCTGTATTTGAGGATCCAAACAGCTTTGCCTACGGTTTACACCAGGTCAAATGGTCAAAAAAATTCAGTTTGCTGTTCCATGTAAATATTCAGAGTAATTCACAATCTTTTCTAACATCATATTTTCTGAATATTCAGAGTAATTCAGTTTGCTGTTCGGATTACACTGGCATATGCACCTTGTTCGAAGACAAGATTTGCAAATTCGGTGAACATTCTAAGTCAAGACTGAACATTCAGTGTTAAGTGTTAACACAACACTGACATATGCACCTTGTTCGAAGACATGATCAGTTTTTAGGAAAGACAAGATTTACTAATTCAGTTTTTAGGGAAGACAAGACTGAACATTTAAACTCTGGAAGCTGGCATTCAGCAAAGACTGAATATACAAATTCGGTTTTTAGGAAAGACAAGATTTACTAATTTGGTGAACACTCAGTCTGAACATTTCTGAATCTACACACACCTTGCTCGAAATTGATTTGCAGGGCATCCTGTTGGTTGTCTCCCTTCATCAACTTTGGGCTGGTCTTCTTCCTGGTGCACACGGTTCAAGCTGGCCCTACTGAACACAGCAATGCAAAGAGCATCAAGCAGTAATAGAGAGCAGAGAATGGAAACCCATGAAAGTGCAGAGTTTAAGCTCTATTCAGCAAATGAAAGTAGCAGTACGAGGCGCTAGGCTGGCTTAAGTAAACATTCGACCTCTCTTGACGAACTCAGGGGCTGGCTCGACGGTCTCGACGGGGGTGGGCAGGAGCGCGAGCCTCCGGCGCGCTGCAGCGTCGCACACCTCCTCGAGCACCGTGACCAGCCGGCCCGCAGTGGAGGCGAGCGCGGCGCCGCCCGAGATGACGGCCACGGCCACGGCCAGGCCGCTCGAGTTGGCGCAGCTGGACACGATTCGGCTCACCGCCTGCGCGGACGATTCCTTGGCCACCGTCTCCCCACGCCACGGGGGCTGGGGCGGGGGTGGGAAGGCCGCGTCGCAGGCCGTCGGGCCGAGGGCCGGCCATGCTTCTTCCATCAACGCTAGGAG